ATGTTCTTTACTTTAAAAAAAAAAAAAAAAAAAAAAAAAAAATTGAAAAACGTGAAATACGCTTTTTTTTTTACAAATACACGGCAAAAGGATTCGAAAATGATTCGGTGTGTATGCACTTTTCTAGAGAGCGCCTCTAACCTTCTCTAATATTTATTTTCTTCCTTTTGGCATTTCGAGCACGTAGAACTTCCGCGTTGAATTTTCATGACTGAGAAAGGTATTGCAAAATGCGTAAAGCAGACTGTACCCTTACGCGTAAAAATTGAAAACAAAAAAATTTAAATTGCCTTGGAATTTCGTAGGCATAAAATATGGCATCTTCGTATTGAATAAAAATAATAAAATCACAAATATCATAAACAATTATGGTTACATAAGGAATAAGTTTCGCGTATTTTCATTATCTATCACGTACATTTTATTTGCCACTGAAGCGAAGTGACAAGATTAATTATTTCGTAAGAATAAAGTTGAGAGATGGTTAATAAATTTAATTAAAACATAACTACTGTGCGGCCGGATTATTTAATAATAAAATACGAATCCTGGAGATGCTCGTAAGAGCATGCAGACTTTACCGTAAACCGAGTAAAATCCTCAAGCCCATCCACCCCATAGAACCTACCCTTACTCTGCGTCCCCTCTACACTTTACTCATCCTTCCTACCGACAAAATCCAGGATCACGCTTATTTGCCAAAGGATACGTGCCGGTTTCTATCAAATCAAAAAAAAGAAAAACGGATGCCACATTTTTTCCTTCTATTGCGTAAAATTCGTACCGTACAGCTTGGAAATTCGCAAAAATAAAAATTATATTGAAATTCAATGAAAGTGAAAAAAATTAATATTACGATCAGAAATCGACAAAGAAATCCTTGATATAAAGGAAATATTTTTTTAGCAATTTAACGTTATTTACAGAATAATAAAAATTTTCCAACAACGAGCACCACTTCGAATAAAATCATCAAAATCATTTATAGACACTAATTTGGATGATCTCAAAATAATTTTTTCGAAAAACTAAATTCACCTGTAGCCATTGTAAAACAAAATGACGAGGGCTGTACGTAGTTTCACCTTACCCGTTAGTCCCGTTAGTTTAAAACAATTTTTATTGTCAATCTCGTTTTTTTCTTTTTTCTTTTCATTCACTTCAGGTTTTTTTCGTGCAGTTTTAAAACGATTCTATGGCTTTCTCTTTTATTATACATATATTATTATACATACGCATGTCCATCGACGAATGGTATGTAAGGCGTGTCCTTTTTTCTTCTCATATCTCTCTCTTTTTTTTCTATCATTATATCGCAACTCTACAAAAAAGCCCTGTTGAATCTAAGCCACCGAAAATTTATAGTGATTGTTCTACATGATCGTGATACAATGAACTAACCAGTGACTATGAGTGATTTGATATTTATCATGCACTGACCTTCCACAAAAAATAGTCAAACTCAACCCAACGAGTCATTAAGTGACGCAAGATTTCCTTGGACGAACTGAATTTTTAAAAAAATTTCAAAAAAAAAATGATCCAAAAAATTAAAAATAATGATTCGAATTATACTTAATGATATAGTTAAAGTGAAAAATAGTGTCTTTCCCTGTTGCTTAAAAATTGTTGTTTTCTAATACTGTACAACACCGATACCAGATCGTTATATCAGACTATTGAAATTGTCAAATAAACTTTTATTCGTGACAAAAAGATTTTCTTGATAAGCAAAGATAAGCATCAGCTGTTCGGTTAATGTAAAGAAAATAAAAAAAAGGATTTCTAAAGGGCTCAAATGCCATATATTTTTATTCGTGTTACGTAACTATCGATTATCTATCGCGAGGGCTCGGTCACTCCCTGCGGAACTCTTTAAGAATTTACGAGTCTCCACTGAAGTGCTTTAAAGCCGCATGTCGGATGAAATCAAACACCCTGTATATGAAGCCAACCTAAACTACACAACCCATGTAACGTATACAGCTGTTTATATGTTTAATTTTACAAGGTTCGTTTTCACGTCCAACATGCACGTATTTGACATGCAAGAGACCGATAAGAAACGAAAAAAAAATTAAAAATATTATACTATTGTTAATTTCGTACAAATTAATTTTTAAAAAATTTTCACTAAACAATAACAGTAGCTTTGTTCGATTTTCGAAATATTAATTCCCTCCACCAGAGGGCGTCACGATCGCCGTCCACTGTAGTCAGGTTTACGTAAGTTAACCGTGTACATTCTTTCATTCCCATCTTCTTCGGATCGACGGGCTTGAGGTGGATTGCAAAATTAATTCGCTTTGCCTGCCGACACGAACGAGACTCCCACTTGGCGTAATACGAAATTTAGCCTGCGATCGCGTGGCATCGTATAATCAGCGACCGCGATCGTTTCTGCTTTGTTATCGTGAAACAATACCCCGTGTCAGCTGCATATGAGGGCCTCATGAGCCCACATACGTTATCTACAGGGCGTTTCAAAAGAAGGATAACTGGTATGGTTATCTCTGTATCCACAAGTTCCGAATACTTATATGTCCAAGACACTTGCTGTTAATTTACGTTAAGATTAACGTAGTGAATTATTCAGAAATAAAGAAATAACGAATCACCTGTACAATATTTTTTAATAACACTGTGCATATACATATATAGAATATACGTGTGCGTATAGTAATATATTAAGAATGCAATCAACAGTGTAGTAAATGTTGAAAATTAATGAGAAAAAAATTAGCATATACTAAACATAGAAATACATATTTGTATATAAATTGACAGTTATAAATGAATTACGAGCATTCTATGCGTTTTAGGGTACGAGATGCTAATTGTGAAATTTAATTTAAAAAATCGATTTGATTGGTAATTTCAAAAAAAACTTTTAACGATAAGCGAATTTGATTCGTGTGATTTTTGTTTGATACAAGTCTTCAGTGACTCAGGTTGTTGTGAGTTTGTCGCGAAGGACCCTATACATTGATGTATAGTAAATATATACATGGTGAGCCATTTGTAGTAACCAAGTCGATTTTTTCGGAAACGAAGCCAGATATGACAAGAATATTCAGACAGAAGTTGTAAGGTTTCAAGGGGGACGGAAAATTTCGTTATTGAATTCCTGCCTGGAATTATGTTATGAATTATAATATGAATAATTATGAATTTATGTTTCCAATTTGTATATAAATAACGGGACAGTTATCAATAATCGACTAACACAGATCAGTCATCGATAAATTAAATACCCTGGCAAAAATCGATAATCGACAATATCGATCTACCAAAATTCATCAATTTTCACTGTAACACATTAATCCTCAATTTTTCCATTTTTCAGGAATCGAAGAGAAACTTCCGCTCTTGGTCAATTTGAGCGTAGACGCTATTTGGATTTCTCCAGTCTATCCGAGTAGAATGATCGATTTTGGATACGACATTTCAGACTTCAGGGGCGTTGACCCAATATTCGGAACCATGCAGGACTTCGAAAGTCTCGTAAAAACAGTCCAAAAGCTGTCGCTCAAAGTCATCATGGACTATGTACCCAACCACACTTCGGACCAGCACGAATGGTTCCAGAAGAGTTTAAAAAATATAGCGCCCTACAATGACTATTACGTATGGCATCCTGGAAAGAAGCTCGATAACGGCACCGTGAAAGAACCAAACAATTGGGTTAAAAAAAAAATTATTAATAATCGAAAAATCATCGTCAAAAAAAATTTTCGAAAAATTAACCATCTTTTTTTTATTTAGCTCAGTGTATTCGGTGGTCCCGCATGGACATGGCGAGACGAAAGACAGGCTTATTATTTGCATCAATTTGATACGTCCCAACCGGATCTGAATTTCTACAACGAGGCACTCGTGCAGGAAATGAAGGTACAACCCATACGCATTACCGCGACAATACATTATAACTATGTCATATAAATATTGCCTGGTAATTAGCCGAGTAAGAATTGCGAGCGATAAGCTTGATAACAGCTAATGACATATATTATACTGCACATATATATATATATATATATATATATATATATATATATATATAACACGAAGTAGTAACGAACAATAGTAAAAAAGTCTAATCAGATAAGGCGTTAATAATAAATTCCCCAGATTGTTAGACACGCTTCCGATGTATAACTAGGACATAGAAATGTCCTAGTAAAATATACATTATGTCACTAGCGTGAGATACGAGTGGTTTAAAAAATTGACGAAACCATTTTTTTAAGGACGTTCTTGTATTCATGTTGGACAAGGGAGTCAATGGGTTCAGGGTCGACGCAATACCTCATCTCTTTGAGAACACCAGTTACCTGGACGAGCCGCTCAGTGGCAATACAGACGATCCGGAAAATTATGGTTACACCGATCACATCTACACGACCGATCAACACGAGACTTACGAAATGGTTAAACAGTGGCGTGACGTCATTGACGCCTATGACGCTGCTAATGGGGTAACTCCCGTCATAATGACCGAGGTTTACACGAGCACGGAACTCACCATGAAGTATTACGATTACGAAGCTCATTTTCCATTCAACTTTTGGTTCATCGAGGATCTGAATGAAAATTCGAGCGCTGCCGGTTATAAGAATATCATTGACACATGGGTGAATAATATGCCGTCAGGTGGCACTGCGAACTGGGTGGTGAGTAAAATATTGAATATTATTGAAATATTGATTAAGTTTGAAAATATTGAGTAAAATATTTAATATTAATTTAATATCAATTTAATATTAATTTAATATTGATACGTAATATATTACGTCTCTTAAATAACATTCTTTAATTATAATGCCTAATGACAATTATTGATAGTTTTATATCAGTTAATTGCAATGCATAGTCGAGGTGCTGAAAAATTTTGAGATTCTCATAGGCTGGAAATCACGATAGGTCCAGGCTGGTTTCACGTTACGGCGAAAGCCTGGCCCAGGCTATTAGCATTATGCTCCTGCTGCTTTCGGGAGTCAGCGTGGCCTATAACGGCGAAGAGATCGGTATGGAGGACACGTGGATATCGTACGAAGAGACTCATATATATAATACACTTTATACCGGTACTTTTGTTTACGACAATTCCATAATTTAATTTTAACTATCTGATGGAGATACTGCACTATAGTTATCATTCTTGTCATTCTGAATTAGGATTACTGTCAACAGTTCAAAATACTTCTAGATTATGCGATGTTGAATCATTTTGACAGGTACTTCATGATTATCAATAGAGACATAAACATGATGGGTCGCATGTCGAGCAGCAGGTCATATGTTTTATCAAGTGCGTGATAAGAGGTATAGGATTAACTTGAATTAAATTATTAGGCCAATCAAGTATCTTATATATATTATATGCAAGGTCAGGCGCACCAAACGTACTGCCTGAAGATAGTCTGGCAATTTGATTTCTATGGTAAAACCACCTTCAAGTGATGAGTTTGTGTGAATAACCCTATACATGGGTACATAGTAAATATAATCATATATAGATGCAGTAAATATATACAGGGTGAGCCATTTCTAGTAGCCAGGTCGATTTATTTGGAAACGAAGATATGAACAAAATTTTCAAAAAGAAGTTGTAGGAGTTGAAGGAGGACGGAACATTTCGTTATTGAATTCATTCCTGAGTTCAGGCGTCAAGGTAATTCGAAAATCAACTTTCATTTTTTCGATGGAGTGATGCATTTTTTTCCAGGAAATCAAAAGATCATTCATTTTTGAGTTTAGAAGTACTATTACACTACTGACGCAAAGTTGACAGGTGATAAGGATTTTTTTTACATAAACAAAAATCTATTCCTCACAATAACTGGAATCATTACCAAGGAATTCGAGTCCTAGTGGAGCGCGAAACGCGACGAAATTTAAAGTACGTGGTAATGATCAAGATGCAATCTTTCAGTGAATTTAAAAAAAAAAAAACAATTTTGCAAATATTCAGGTGCCCGAATATTTTCTTTTGCAACCAATCCAGACTGTTGATGTAATTTATTTCAATACTTTACATACGTTTAACTGATACTGTAAGACCGAAGAAAACTATTCTTATCGATAGGAAATTTTTCACCATTACTACAGATAATGAGCGCGATAGCATGTGATTTGATTATTATATCTGATCAATACGACTACCCTACTCCCCCGCGTGCATCCAGCATCTGCGTATAAAAAGGCGAACCAGAAGCGATCCCATACCAGTCTCTGTGTTATCGAGCTAAAATATTCAATTTAGAATTTACGTCTAGAATTAAAAACTAGCAGCGCCTTTATCCTGTAATCAGTACGGAAACGATATCTAAAAAGATCTGTTCAGTGGATTTTAAAAGATATCATGAAGCTACTGTTCACACTGGGATTACTGACTTTTGCTGGTATCCCTGTTAATTGCCTGGAATGGTGGCAGTCCATGTCACTGTATCAAATTTACCCACGAAGTTTCAAAGATTCTGATGGCGACGGTGTGGGAGACCTTAAAGGTGAGCCTCTTTTTTATTTTTATTCATTGTGCTTAAGTTGAGAACATTTTTATATATGAAAATATTTATACGATTCAAGACAACTTTCAATTTACTTAAAAGTTGTTACGCAAGATTCTAATGTGCAATTCGCACATTGTGACAGACCTAAATTTTTCGCAATTAGTGATTAATCTTTTTCCCTCTACATTTTCGCACTCCTCGTGATATTCTGTGGTAGAAGATAACATTGTGAAATTCACACTCGTATACGACAAACAAATATAAATTGCTTGAATTGCAGATGCAGTTAATTTGTATAACATAGTAAATTTGCAAAAACCAAAGAAAAAAGGATTAGCAAAACACAATCAAAATTCATAACACATGCATTGAAAAAAAATTATATTTTCTAATTTGCATACAAATAATGAATCAGTCATCGACAAATTAAATATCCTGGCAAAAATCGATAATCGACAATTACTAAATTCGCAATAAATCCCATACGCAAAAAAACTTTTACGACTAATTAAACAGAATCCGAATTACATGTATTTGATCAAAAAACAAAGGATCCATATCGATCTACCAAAATTCATCAATTTTCACTGTAACACATTAATCTTCAATTTTTCTATTTTTCAGGAATCGAAGAGAAACTTCCGCACTTGGTCAATTTGGGCGTGGACGCTTTTTGGATTTCTCCCACCTATCCGAGTCCAATGATCGATTTTGGATACGACATTTCAGACTTCAAGGGCGTCGACCCAATGTTCGGAACCATGGAGGACTTTGAAAATCTCATAAAAACAGCCCAAAAGCTGTCACTCAAAGTCATCATGGACTATGTACCCAACCACACTTCGGACCAGCACGAATGGTTCCAGAAGAGTTTAAAAAATATAGCGCCTTACAATGACTTTTACGTATGGCACCCTGGAAAGAAGCTTAGTAACGGCACCATGGCAAAACCAAACAATTGGGTAAAGAAATCGCACAAATATTATCAATAATCGAAAAAATACGGAAAGTCAAAAAATCATTTTCAAACAAATTTTCAAAAATTAACCATCTTTTTTTATTTAGCTCAGTGTATTCGGTGGTCCCGCATGGACATGGCGAGACGAGAGACAGGCTTATTACTTGCATCAATTTGATTCAGCCCAACCGGATCTAAATTTCCACAACGAGAAGCTAGTACAAGAGATGAAGGTGACGCATGACGCATTACCACAACAATTCATTATAAATATGTCATATAAATAATTGCCTGGTAAATAGCCGTGTAATAATTGAGAGCGATAATCTTGATAACAGCTAATGACATATATTATACTGTACTATATACATTGTCACGAAAATGAATTTTCGTTAGTAGGGACGATTCGGGAGGGATGTGGTAAGCGGCTGGCGTAGCTCAGTGGTCAGAGCAGTCGACCGGTAATCGAAAGGTCCCGGGTTCGAATCCCGGCCCAGACGCCCCGCATTTTTCCCGGATTGTCCCTTGAAAAATAACCCCTCCACCGGGTTATAATATATATTGTATATTACACGAAGTAGTAACAACCAATAGTGAAAAAGTCTAATCAGACAACGCGTAAATGATAAATTCCCTAGATTGTTAAACACGCTTCCGATGTATAACCAGGACACAGAAATGTCCTAGTAAAATATGCATTATGTCACTAGCGTGAGATACGAGTGGTTTAAAAAATTGACGAAACCATTTTTTTAAGGACGTTCTTGTATTCTGGTTGGACAAGGGAGTCAATGGGTTCAGGGTCGACGCAATACCTCATCTCTTTGAGAACACCAGTTACCTGGACGAGCCGCTCAGTGGCAATACAAACGATTCGGACAATTATGCTTACTTCGATCACATATACACGACCAATCAACACGAAAATTACGAAATGGTTCAACAGTGGCGTGACGTCATTGACGCTTATGACGCTGCTAATGGCGTAACTTCCGTCATGATGACCGAGGCTTACGCCAGCCCGGAACTCATCATGAAGTATTACGATTACGGATCTCATTTTCCATTCAACTTTTTCCTCATCGAGAATCTGGGTAAAGATTCGAATGCGAGCGAATATAAAAATATCATCGACACGTGGATGAATAATATGCCGGCAGGCTGCACTGCGAACTGGGTGGTGAGTAAAATATTGGATATTAATTAAATATTGATTAAGTATATAATACGTTTCATAAATAAAATTCTTTAATTGTAATGCCTAATGACGATTATTGACAGTTTTGTATTAGCTAATTGCAATGCATAGTCGAAGTAGTGAAAAATTTTGAAACTCTCATAGGCTGGAAATCACGATAGGCGCAGGCTGGTTTCACGTTTCGATGAAAACATAGCCCAGGCTATTAGCGTTATGCTCCTGTTGCTTCCGGGAGTCAGCGTGACCTATAACGGCGAAGAGATCGGTATGGAGGACACGTGGATATCGTACGAAGATACTTATGATCCTCAAGGATGTAATGCGGGGAAGGAGAATTATGAGAGTATGTCTAGGGATCCTGAAAGGACTCCGTTTCAGTGGGATAATACGACGTCAGCTGGTACTTGGGTGTTTGTTATAAAACAAACTTTTTTTCAGAATTACATGATTTGATTAATTCTGTTTTTCAAGGTTTCTCCACGAACAGTACCACGTGGCTTCCTGTCAACGA